TTATCTCTGGGAATATCTGAGTGGAGGTGGCAGATGTTCTAGCAAGAAAGCAAAAAGGTGCATAAGAAATAAATATCTCTTCTACACTCTGACCTCTAAGAGAATTGCCCTGCCACAGTGGGTGTTTAATAAATCACAATGACGGCAACAAAGTGGCAGTGTGGTGTAAAGGAAATAAAATGGGATTAAAATGCTGAAGTCCCAGTAGCTGTGACCCTGGGAAAGTCACTTCATAACTTTGGAGTCTTGATATCTTTATTTGTAAAATGAGGTCACTAATAATTCTTGTCCTCATTATTTCACAGTGCACTTGAGAGAAATATTAGTGAAAGTCCTTTTTAAAAGTTAATTTGTGCTGAGGATGGTTACTGGAACTGACAGGAGGGAGGTTTCTGGAGTGCTGGTAACATCCCCTGCATGATCTGATGCTGTTTACACGGGTTTGTCCACTTTGTGAAAAGTGGTTAAGATTTGTTCATTTTTCTGTATATATATATTATACTTCCCTAAACTGTTAACTTCTAAAAGTTGAGTAGCTCAAAGCAATTTTAAAAGTTAGGATGATTATAATACGGACAAGAAAAATTACATGGGTCAGAAGCTCACTGTCTTTATCCTCATTTCTCTTCCTAGCCATCTTATCACACAGAGAAACTCAAGACTCAGAAGTGGGATTGATGATAATAATCAGTTGTTTTCTCTGTGGTGTTTTGTTTTTTGCTTATTGGGGTTTGTTTTTTCCCTTGTTAGTGAATAGTATTTTCCTGGCACAGAAGCAGGAGGAATGAACCAGGAAGTTTCCTGCATGCCAGAGGGTTCAACAATAAAAAGAAAGGAGCCTGAGCTGTCCGTATCAAGGGAAAGATGTGATTAGAGAGATGTGACATGCAAAGAAATGATCTGAAAAGCGAAATCAGTTGGGAAAGTATAAGCCCCAAAGAGCCCTGAGCAGCTGGTCATGATCAGATTCTCCATCTTTCTGTCAAATGCAATTGTATCTGAATTGGCAGGGTATTTATTGCTTAAGTCGAAGGGCCAGATTTTACACTAAACATATTTACACATTTACATTCGTGGCCCTATAAACACTGCACGTTTCACTGGCAGTGACATCAAACACATTTACCAACAAAAAGCATATGCCTAATTACAAAATCATAGGACAGAAGGGAAGCGGGTGGCAGCTGATGAGATGAGCAATGAGTGTGCATGCCTGTGTGTGTATATGTGTGACTCAGCTGCAACACCAGGAAACCGGTAGAGACAAGAATGGATGCTGACCTTGTAGGGCTCACTTCACTTGTCCTCTGCTCCCAGGCTTGTCCTTGTCTGGTTAAGTTCTAAAGGGAGAAGGGGACCCCTGGCATTTCAATTACTTCCACAGTTACTCAGGCTGGTTCCTGGTTAGATTTCTGATTTGGATTGAGTTTGATGCTGATATGACCTTTAAGTTACCCCCAAATGACTTTTATCAGTTAGCAATAAAAACAGGTGTGAGCAAAATGTGTAGCCAGCAGAGATTTGTAAAACTAAAACTAGAGTTCTTAATTCCTGGCTTTGGGTACTAAGATCAGATATTTATCCATCAATAGCAGTTGTAATAATACTGCTAGCTGCTCCAAGCTTGGTCCTCAGTCAAGCAAGGAAATCAGAGCCACTGGGGCCAGAGAGAAAAACAAAACAGCACAACCACTGGCTTCTGACAGCCTTTAATAAATGACACAGGCTGGTATTCCATCAAAATAATCACCTTCATCAGAATAACCACCTCTTCCAGCTTTCTCAAAGGACAGGGCTGCAGGAAGAAATGTTGAGATTAAAAAAAAAAGAAAGAAAGAAACAACTGTGAAGGGCAGAACTCTTTCTCCCAGATGGATGCTTATTACACTCACTGTAAGAATTTTGATAATAAATATACTCAAAATTCCAGTTCCATCAGCAGAAATTTGGGCAGGAAAGGACTGTTGAGTTGTAGAAGTAAAGTAGAGATGCACAGATGCCTCAGTGAATGAAGAAATGGGAAAGATGCTCACAATTTTTTTTCCTTCTCCCCAATTTCTTTTTCTTTTCTTTTTTTAGGAGGAAGGGAAGTGGCTCTTAAATAAATGCACGGGATGGGGATGGAGAGGAAACACGTTGTTGAGCAGAAGCACTAGCTTCTTATTTTAAAGAAATAAAATTATTATGCAATAGAGAAAAAAGAAATCAACCAAGAAACCATCTCAGGTCATAACACCATGTGTGGTACAAGGAGCAATTCAATCCATAGGGGCTTCATTACCCGGCAATAGATAACATTTGGCTAAATCTAGCTGCAGATTAAATCTCCGCAGCACAACAGAGTCCTGAATGGAGAGGATCCTTTTTGTGTGGTCCTTCTCCAGGAGTTGCCTGAACCATTAGCCCCCAATATATCCCTCTCCCTATTAACTGCAATTCCCTCCCGACTGCGCTTCGGTCATTTGTCTCTAGGCTCCACGGGGGCGTTTGATGAGCAGAGAAACAAGGAGAAGAGGAGAAAAGCGTCGGGTTAATGAGTTGTAGCAAATCCACACTTTGTAGTCAGGAGGAGGAGAGTTGGTGGCCAATGTTTGTCCAACTGGTTTATTTTTCGAGACCCAGCCTATTGAGGAAGGCTGTTCAAGCAGGCTTCGTCCTTACAAACACACAAACATCCTTCTGTTTGCCTTCAAAGAAAAGGGGACCAGCGCTGGATTTGCATGCGAATGAGGAGCCCCGGGAGGAGACGTCCTTGCCCATCAAAGGCCATGGTAGCCGGGCGGCCTTTGTTCCAGCACCTGCTCGCCCGCGCGGCCTGACGGGGCGCGCCCTGCGCTCCTGGTTCGCGGGGTCCACGGCCCACGGGCCTCTACTCGCCTGCCCTGTGGCCTTCGCTTCCCCGTATCTCAGCTGCTCGCCGGCCAGGCCCGCAGGGTCAGGGAAGCCTACGGTGGAACCCCAAATCCTGAGGGTGGAAAGGCTGAACTCACAGGACGCCAAACTCGAGACTGAAGCAGGCGTGTCATATTTACATTTGCTTAGAGGACGCGGATGAAGCGGGACACCAGCGCGGGATCGTTCAGTGCCTTCTTGCCATTGTCCTAAAAGCAATGACAACCTGGAGGTGGAGCCCGTCCAGGCACTTTTTAAAAAATACGGGAATCTGAGAGGATTACCCGGGATTCCTGCTTTTAGGACATCCAAGCATCATGTAAATAGTAATAGTAATAGTAGTAATAATTAATACACACGGTTTTGCTCTTTCGCTCTCTTCATAATTACTTTCAGGGTCTAAATTTCAGATCTATGCGACACAGAAGGCGGCGAGGTGCACCCCAGTGCCTCTGCGGTTTGCGGTCCGCCTGCCAACGCCCCCTGGGGGGGTGGTGGCAGTCAGACCTTCTCTGTTCCAAGGTCTCCTCTCTCTTAGCTCGGCTAGCGTAAAAGTGACTTGCATGTAAGATTTTGGTCTAATGATATTTTAATTTGTACCTATATATTTAGCTGTAAATTTGACGGCGAGTGTGTTTAGTCTAAACTCTAGTCTCTTCCAAATATGTCATAGGGAAAAAAACAGAATTTAATTTCCAAGCTGTGAGAGTCCGTTTTTACCCCCCACCCCCAAAAAGAGTCGAGAGGGCATAGCACCAAGAGTGAACGTCACTGCAAAATGTTGGGCTATAATGCAGTCAGTCTTCCTTAACTTGCTAGGCTAAATCTGCCAGATCTTCATATACATACCTGTCCAGGTACATAAAAAACATTTAATAAACAGATTTAATCCTCTCTGAAACTCACTGATATCAAGCATTTAAATGACATATCACATATACCTTGGTTTTATTTGGAGCCCACAATAACATTTTTAGCCATCAAAACTTTAGTCTCAGATGTTTTCAAAGAACTAGAAATTATCTGCAACTAGTTAATGAAAACACTTAAAATTTGAAAAAAGATATCCTAAATTTCTTAAAATTGTATAAATATAAGTTCAATAAACACCTGATGCATTCATTTTTGTTCTTTAAAGTGCATATTATCCTAAAATTGGGTATTTCTCTACATACCTTGTTACTCATTTACCCTAGAATTTTGCTGTTAAGTTTGCCTTTGAGGATAAAAAGTGCTTTATACAATTACTGGAATCCCTTCTGTCAAGAAAATAGTAGCTTTAAATACTAGAAGTTTCAAATACAATTGCTTTATATATGTAAATATTTTCTTATTCAGGACTTTAAAGCTGTTTTAACTGATCATCTGTATTTAATTTTTTGAACCAAAAATTGCCTATTTGCTCATATTGCTCCCATTACAATACTGTGTTACAGTTTTTACACATATATACAATATTGTGCTGAAAGTTATGTGGAAATTAAATCAAGTGGGAAGCTCAAAAATAAAATTAAAAGTTCTATAAAATTATCTTTGGGTAACTGTGGCATTAATTTTAAATAGCCTCATCACTTCAAAATGGAATAGATGAGATTTGAAAATGTACCCTAAAATAACTTGTTTTATTTGTACTCATTTTGAAGTAGTTTCTGATCTGCAATGGTTTTGACTTAGCTAGTACACATGAAAACTCATGGCATGAGGCTTTTCTCAAATTCTCTTTGAAAATATTTCCTATTTTATAATAGGTTATCTCACATAACTTTTTTAACAGAAAAAATAAACTAGAAGGGGACGACTAAAGGCAATTCTTTTGGTGGATTTTCTTTGAAAATTAAGCATTTTATTTCTGAAAAAGTGTAAAAATCTTACAATAGAATAGTACAATAATAATTGCCGGTAAATTTTACAATACTCCTTGTAAAGAATACGCAGTAAGTACAAAATAAAAGTTCCGCATGTCTATTATGATACAAAACACAGGTTAAAGAAATTATCATTTGACTTTTTTCCTTGTGTAAACATGTTAATCACTTTTTCCTTTTCATGAAAAAGTACACCAGACAAGTGTCCTCAAATGAAAAACTATTGCTTCGCTGGCATTCTTCGGGACCTTTACTAGTTTTGTATTATTTTTCTTGAACATTACTGGTGGGGTTTTTTTTTTTTTAACGCCTGGACCTGAGAATCTCCAGACCCCCAAAAGGCTTAGAATTTTAAAAAATCCCCCGAAAATCAAGGAAGCCCCTCGTGCCTAGACAGGGCAGACCCACCGCTAGCACCCTCTTCCTCCCCACCCCGGGTCGGGGTCTTCAGCAGAGGGCAACTTTGCATAGAGGGACCCACTAAGCCCCAAAGCGTGCCCAAGCTGTTGCCATTCTCGTCTGAGCATCCCGAGCAGAGAAACTTGTGGGGGCGAGGTCGGACGGCCCGCGCCAGAAGGAGCGAGAAAAACACCGCACCACCAAGATGAATAAAGGAGCCGGGATTCCTACCTTCTCTTTCTCAAGCGCGCTAACATAGCGTTATTAACAATTTGAAATCCTAGCGGTAAAGTTCTCCACACTGGACAGGGCAGTCCCTTGGTGCAGAGTTCCCAGGGCGGCCGACGAGGAGACGGAGGAAGCGGCGGCGGCCGCGGCAGCCACCAGCGAGCGTGTGAGAGCGGCCGCCGGGCCCACGGCCGCCTGAGCCGCGCAGCCGCCGCCGGGTCCGGGCGCGGACGGCGTCCTCGGAGAGGGCGAGGGCGAGGGCGAGGCCTGCGCGGCGGCGGCGGCCGCAGCGGCCGGGCCCAGGCTGCCTCCGATGATGCTCTCGATGGAGAAGGGCGAGCGCGCCAGCGCCGAGGCGCCCGGGCCGCCCGCCTTGGCCGCCGAGGCCTGCAGGGGGCCGGGCAAGGGGGCGCCGAGCGGGTGCGGCCGGTAGCCGAAGGCGGTCCGGGCCAGCTCGGCGGCCGCGCCGTGCTGCGGCGGCGGCGGCGGCGGGGGCGGCGGAGGCGAGTGCGGGTGGAAGGCGGCGGCAGCAGCGGCGGCGGCGGCGGCGGCAGCGAAAAGGGCGGAGGGCGGCGCGTAGGGCGGCAGCTGCAGGCCGTAGCCGCAGCCGTACGGGCCGTAGCCGTAGGCGTGCGGCGGCGGCGGGGGCCCGGGCGGGAAGAGCGCCGCGGCCGGGTCGCCCGCGGCCCCCGCGCCCCCCGCGCCGCGCAGCAGCAGCGACTCGGCGGCGGCAGCGTTGGGCGGCAGCAGCGGCTGCCGTTTGAAGCGCTTCCTCCGCCGCAGGAAGCTGCCGTTGTCGAACATGTCGGCGGACTCGGGGTCGAGCGTCCAGTAGTTGCCCTTGCCGGGGTTGCCGGGCTCGCGGGGGATCTTGACGAAGCAGTCGTTGAGCGACAAGTTGTGGCGGATGCTGTTCTGCCAGGCGGGGAACTTCTCGCGGTAGTAGGGGAAGCGGCCGCTGATGAACTCGCAGATCTCGCTCAGCGTCAGCCGCTTCTTGGGGCTCTGCAGGATGGCCATGGTGATGAGCGCGATGTACGAGTAGGGCGGCTTCACCAGAGGGTTCTTGGCGCCGCCGCCCGCGCCGCCGCCGCCGCCGCCCGCGCCCGCGCTGCCGCCCGCCCCGGTCCCGGCCCCGGCCGCCGGGGCTGGGCCCTGGGGCGGCGGGGAGCCCCCCGTCCGTGGGGCCAGCAAGAGGTCGTCGTCGTCGTCCTCCTCCTCCAGGTCCTCCAGCTCGTCCTCGCCGGCGTACGAGCGCCTCCGCCGCCGCTGCCGCGCGGGGACAGCCAGTCGGGGCCCGCCACCGCTGCCCTCGTCGTCATCCTCTTCTTCCTCGTCGTCTTCGTCCTCGCCCTCCCCCACCACGTCGATGTCTGTCTCCTCGGCGAGGCCAGAGGCATCGGACATCTCCGCGCTCAGGGTCATGGCTGGGGCGCGGCGGCGGCGAGGCGGCGCATAGGGGCGCCGGGCTCCGGGCTCCCGCCGCGCCCCAGCCCGGGTCCCGGGCGGCGGGCCCGGCCCGGGAGCGCCACGCTGGGGCGCCGCCGCTGCTCACGCGGCGCAGGGGCTGCCCGGCGGCGGCCGAGGCTTGCGCCGCGACTTTGTAACTCCTGCGCCCCCGCGGTAGCCGCGCGATCTCTGGGCTACCCTGGCTCCGCGCGCCCTGAGCCCGGGCGGGCACTTGACCTTCCCCTCTCGGAAAGCCCCTCACCCGGTCTGTTGGCGAGTGGGCGGCGGGGCCCCGGGCGAGCAGTCCGCGTTCGGGCGCCCAGGAGGGTGCAGGACTGGAGAGGGTCTGGGAACGGCGCTCGGCGAGGCAAGGGCTGAGTCCGGGAGAGGGCGGATCTTGCCTCGGCTTATAGCAGGAAGCCTGTCACATGGTGTGCACGTCAGAGCGCTGCAGAGGGAAGAGAAGGAGAGCTAAGAAATCTGCCCTGCGGGGAGAGAAGGTTCACCCGTAGGAGGACGCGGGAGGAGAGGACCCGACCGTGCCTTGTCCTGGGATTGCGTGCTGGTCCACGATGGTCTGAAGCTACAATCACTGCAAGAGTTCCAGCTTCTTTATTTCTCTTCAATTAGCCCTCAGCCCTAACCTCAGATGCACTCTCGCGACGCAACGATTTGGCAATTCGACGGCTTGTAGGAGACGTCCAGCCCGGAGATGACACTCCCCTCCCCCATTGTCTGAGGTGATACCTGGGGGAATAGCTAAGAGGTCTGTGGGCTGTCCCATCTTCCCCAGTTTGGCAAGCTGCTCCCCATCGAATCTAATGAGAACCCCCCCACCCCCCCCACCACACACAGTTTAAGCACAGTAATAATTGTTTATTGACCTTTCAACCTGTCCCCTTCGGTTTTTCTCTAAAGACATTTGTTTTCTGCCATCTGTTAATAAAAATGCTGTTAGGCTGGCGTTTTAGTCACTTATATGCGATTGAATGCCCTAGAAAAGTGACAGCTAAACTGAGCCACTCTAATGAGAGAATCTGACAAATTTCATGGGAATAAAGAAAGTAATCAGTGAATGCAGAGAAGAAATAGCAAATTTTAATGGAAAGTCAAACAAAAAAAAATTGCACCTAGGAATTATTCGAAAAATTTCCTTTATAATGGGGCAGGGAAAACTATAGCCCCGAATCAGAGAGACATTAAAATCAACACCTCACAGTAATTTCAACACACAAATTATTACAACATATACACGTATGTCGACTCAGGCCGACTTAATAACAGAAACTACAATGGTAAAACTTTCCAACCGGTTTTTAAAAATGTTTTTGTATAATCCACTAAATACTTCCAATAGCTACTGGTGAAAAGAAACGAAATAACTTCTTTTAAAGAAAATTTAAGTTCTTTTCAACTCAATTTTCCTTTTCAGGTAAGGAGGTAGTGGAAATAATTCAAGTGGGATGGTATTTTTTTTTTTTTTTTTGGTACAGGCTTTTATTTAGAGATAAAGTAGGAGAATAGAGCTTCTGGTTCACGCCAGGAGGGGACAAGAGAGCCCCCGGATGCTATTTTAAGTATTCTTATTTTGTCATCAACTTTATTTTCGCTACCAGAAAAATCCTAATAGCTTGTGGAATTCACACTCACATAGTCATAACGTTTGGGTTTTTGAATTTCTTAAAAACACTTCTATTTCAAAGTGGGGGACTTGTTTCAAAATTTTAGCTTTCTGATTAAAATGACCACATGACCAGACTTGAGTGCCAAGTCAATAGCTTTCTGTAGGAACAATCATTAGCTGTTCTGTATATCATTTTATCAACCAAGTAGTTTTCACGTTTCCAAACGTTTAATTACTTCCCTTATCAATCACAGCCTCAAAAATAAACTGTTCCCCCATCTAAAACTTCTTTTAAAATCAAGTTTTTATTGCTAGAACAGCTACCAACCAGTTACACTTACAAATGACCCATACAATCCATCATAGATCTTTGAAAGATCTACGGAACGCCTCAAAGTTCTAAATCACTTATTTTTCATTGACTCTATTTTGATATACGGCTGATCCATTTAATTACTGTAATGGGCTCAGCGTTAACCTGAGCCAACATTAATCAGCACAATTAATCAAGCGTTACATTGCTTTGTTGATGTAGCCAAGAGTCCTTACCAAGGAGTTCGCTTTTACATTTGAAAGTTTAAGCTTTATAAGTACTCAGTCGATATCTAAACAAACACCATGATTTTCTCTGGATTGAGGGTTGATGTGTGGCTAAGTACTTAGAGATGAAACGGAGAGTAGAATTTGCCCATAGATCATTAGTTACTTCAGATGATCAGTTACAGCCGTCATTCGGTTCTGTTACCACCGCCCAGTACTTGTCTGGCCAAGAAGGGCGCGGAGATTGCCTCTGCGTTCCGTTTGTAACTTTGTCCGAAGACCCTCCCCAAAGCGTTAAAGGGGTCTTCCCTAGAAACGTCTGAAAAACTGGCATATTGTCTTCTGGCCACTTAGGGGAAAGTGAGTTTACTGAAGGTCGGAACGGAAGATCTACCATAGAGGAGCGCTGCAGGGACTGAGTGTTAACAGAGATTTGGGTGAGATTTACTAAAGCCCCACATTTGGGCATGCCACATGCTTTGTTTGCTCTAACATGCTTTGTTTGCTTTAGTTATGCTACACATTTGAGACCTTTAGCTCGGCGCCCGTGAAATTTCCCGAGCGCAGAAACTCAGGCGTTTCATTTCCCGCGCGTCTCCCTTTGGCGCCGCTTGTCCCCCACCCCCGGACCTCCCTCCCTAACGCATTCCCAGCTCTGGGTCGCGCTGGGAAAGCTCCACCCTTGCCCCTTTTATCTGGTACAAGGGGACGAGAAACTTGTTGGTGAGGAGTGCAGGGGACCACGTGGCGACGCCCTCTCCCGCGAGGCAGGCTCGCGTGGATGCTTCAAATGGCTGAGCGCCTGCGCAGCCCGGAGATGTCCACGTGGGGGAGGGCTGCCCCCTGGCGGCGGCGCAGAGCAGTGCTGGTCAGGGCGCTGGCCCATCCCTAGCTTGCAGAGCAAGGTTTTTTGCGAGTGTGGCCCCTGGGCTTCAGGGCTTCCTTCCCACCGGGTTCCGGCGGCCTGACGTCTTCTTTCTTGAGGCCCCACTCTCCTCTGTGCTGACTGGGCGGACGGGGAAGCATTTCCTTGGACTGCAGTTTTAGGATTTCTTCCCGCAGGCGTCTTGGGCTCAGGTACCTGCGGTGGGGTCTCGGGATTATGCGCCGCAGGAGCCAGCGAGGCGGCGGGATCCTCGGGAGGCACAGTCTCAGCTCTTTGCCCTCGGGCCCCCCACTGAGAGCTCCGTCTGGGTCAGAGGTGGGCCAAGGCGGGCAGAGATCTGGGGGAGTAAACTCCCGGGGCCAGAGCCTGGACTGCTCTCTCGGCCTTTAGCGCATCCTTGGAGTTTATCTGTGAAAGTGAACAAGAACATGTTTTCAAACTCGGCGAACACGGGGCACCGTCCTTTCTCGACGAGTCATTCCACAAGCTTGTATCCAGATATTACTTTGTTTCTGGCACTCTGGGTTCTGGAGACAGAAAAAGTGCAACGGGAGGGTGTACTGGTGTGAGGGTGCTTACAGTCTCTTGGGGGAGCCCGGTAAACAGATCATTACTATGACTAATGATAAGTCCTTTCAGAGTTATCCAGCCGAAGTGCACCAAGCCTCAGGGTCCCTGTGAGAGCCTTCCTTGTAGTCGTGTGCGTCTACCCTTATCTTTGTAAACTCAAATGTCTGGAGGCCCAAAGGGGTTCTATTCGTTGTTTCTTGTTTATTTTCCAGTGTGTTAAAATACACATAGCATACAATTTACCACTGTAATATGTACACATTAGAGGCATTAAATACATCCGTGCAGCTATCACCACTATCCGTTTCCAGAGCTTTTCTGTCATCCCAAATTGACACTCTACCCTTTAAAGAGTAACTCCCATTCCTCCCCCTCCCATCAGCAGACCCTTGGCAGCCACTCTTCTATTTCTTGTCTCTGTGAATTTGACTATTTTAGCTACCTCATATTAGTTGAATCATACAATATTTGTCTTCTGTGACTGCCTTATTTCACTTAACAATGTCTCCAAGGTTGGATCATAATTTCATCTCTTTTCAAGTCTGTATAATATTTCATTGTATGTATATACCACATTTTACTTATCTATTCATCCATCTATGTGCATTTGGGTTGTTTCCTCCTTTTCTGTTTGTTTTTGAACCTTCACTCACCTAGCTCTTTGTAACACTCTGCTTGCAGTAGGCATTCAATAAAGTTTTGGTCATTTTCCTGTATCTTTTTCACCCCAGAAATACTCAAAGGAACCCCAATGTCTTAACAGAGCACACACATTAGTGAAGTCACAGTGACAATTTTTGCCATGCCTTTCTGGATTGTAACCTCAACTTGCTTACAATTTTGAGACTTTCGGATTATCTTCAGTAAAAAAAGAAGAGTTAAGGCTCTGCCAGAATTAAATCCAAACAAAATTGTGAGCACCCCTCCTCTCCCCACACCACACATTACATGTTTTTTTTTTTACTTCTTACCTGTCCTAATTCCTTAGGGGCCCACAATGACCTTAAAATGTTTCTCTGGCTGTCCAGGGACCTCCACTTCAGCATTCTCATATGGTGTAATACTACCTGCCATGAGTGTTGGTTCACATATGCCAGTAAGCTAATTTCAATGAGATCACAACAATGGGTGAAGTGGGTACCTCCGTATGATGGCTGAGGAAAGAGGGTGGGAATTGCTGCTAGCTGTTATAGAGGCAGTGATGGCAGAGCCTTCCATCTCCACCATGGCCCAGTTCTGAAGCCTCTCCCAGCACAGGACCCTATGGGTCGCACTCTTTCCACCCCGCAAGTCTGCTTCTTCAGGGATGGTTAGGTAGTTTGAAAGTAAGTTCAAGATAGCATATTACAGGCTGAAGGTTGATACCTCTCCCAAGAGTGGGAATATGTTAACCTGGAGATTCTGTTGATAAAATGCTGTAATCCAGTTTCAAATGGTGGGTCTTCAGGC